TTTTTAATTAAATATATCATCATAACGGCATTTGGTATTAAAACAGAACATTTCTAACCAAAAAAAACTGTGTTATTTAATTTATAGTGAAGATAATGATTCACAATAATCACAAATTTGTGAACTTAAATTTTTTTAACATTCATGTATCATTTTTGATATCAAAATCGACCATTTATAACACAAAAAATGCGTTTCTGACTTTATTACCAACTTAATCATTCACAACGACAACTATATTGTGAAAACTTTGTGAATTTTCATTTTTTAATCAACTATATCATCATCATAATCGATTTTGGTATTAAAATAGAACATTTCTAACCAAAAGAAACTATCATTTAATTAATAATGAAGATAATGATTCACAATAATCACAAATTTGTGAAAATTTTCATTTTTTAACATTCATATATCATTTTTGATATAAACATCGAGCATTTATAACACAAAAAAGCGTTTCTGACTTTATTACTAACTTTAATCATCCACGAGAATAACTTTTATTGTGAAAATTTTGTGAATTTTTATTTTTTAATAAAATATATCATCATCATGCGTTTGGTATTAAAATAGAACATTTCTAACCCAAAAAAAATGTATTATTTAATTTATAATAAAAATAGTGATTTACAACAATCACAAATTTGTGAAAATTTTCATTTTTTAGCATTCATATATCATTTTTGATATCAAAATCAAACATTAATAACACAAAAAATCCGTTTCTGACTTTATTACCAACTTAATTATTCCCAACGATAACTTTTATTGTGAAAATGTTGTGAATTTTTATTTTTTAATCAAATATGTAATCACCATCATCGCGTTTGGTATTAAAATAGAACATTTCTAACAAAAAAAACTGTATTATTTAATTTATAAAGAAAAAAATACAAAAATCGACCATTTATAGCACAAAAATTTCGTTTTTGACTTTATTACCAACTTATTAATCATTCACAATGATAACTTTATTGTGAAAACTTTGTGAATATTAATTTTTTAATCAAATATATCATCATCATAATCGCGTTTGGTATTAAAATAGATCATTTCTAACCAAAAAAACTGTATTATTTAATTTATAATGATGATAGTGATTCACAATAATCACAAATTTGTGAACTTACATTTTTTTAACATTCATGTATCATTTTTGATATCAAAATCGACCATTTATAACACAAAAAATGCGTTTCTGACTTTATTACCAACTTAATCATTCACAACGATAACTTTATTGTGAAAACTTTGTGAATTGTAATTTTTTAATCAAATATATCATCATCATAATCGCGTTTGGTATTAAAATAGATCATTTCTAACCAAAAAAACTGTATTATTTAATTTATAATGATGATAGTGATTCACAATAATCACAAATTTGTGAACTTACATTTTTTTAACATTCATGTATCATTTTTGATATCAAAATCGACCATTTATAACACAAAAAATGCGTTTCTGACTTTATTACCAACTTAATCATTCACAACGATAACTATATTGTGAAAACTTTGTGAATTTTCATTTTTTAATCAACTATATCATCATCATAATCGATTTTGGTATTAAAATAGAACATTTCTAACCAAAGAAAACTGTATTATTTAACTTATAAATAAGATAGTGATTCACAACAATCACAAATTTGTGAAAATTTTCATTTTATATCATGTATCATTTTTGATATCAAAATCGAACATTTATAACACAACAATTTCGTTTCTGACCTTATTACCAACTTAATCATTCACAACGACAACTATATTGTGAAAACTTTGTGAATTTTCATTTTTTAATCAACTATATCATCATCATAATCGATTTTGGTATTAAAATAGAACATTTCTAACCAAAGAAAACTGTATTATTTAACTTATAAATAAGATAGTGATTCACAACAATCACAAATTTGTGAAAATTTTCATTTTATATCATGTATCATTTTTGATATCAAAATCGAACATTTATAACACAACAATTTCGTTTCTGACCTTATTACCAACTTAATCATTCACAGCGATAACTATATTGTGAAAACTTTGTGAATTTTCATTTTTTAATCAACTATATCATCATCATAATCGATTTTGGTATTAAAATAGAACATTTCTATCCAAAAAAACTGTATTATTTAATTTATAATGAAGATAGTGATTCACAATAATCACAAATTTGTGAACTTACATTTTTTTAACATTCATGTATCATTTTTGATATCAAAATCGACCATTTATAACACAAAAAATGCGTTTGTGACTTTATTACCAACTTAATCATTCGCAACAATAACTTTATTGTGAAAACTTTGTGAATTTTAATTTTTTAATCAAATATATCATCATCATCATCGCGTTTGGTATTAAAATAGATCATTTCTAACCAAAAATACTGTATTATTTAATTTATAATGAAAATAGTGATTCACAACAATCACAAATTTGTGAAAATTTTCATTTTTTAACATTCATATATCATTTTTGATATCAAAATCAAACATTAATAACACAAAAAATCCGTTTCTGACTTTATTACCAACTTAATCATTCACAACAATAACTTTATTGTGAAAACTTTGTGAATTTTAATTTTTTAATCAAATATATCATCATCATAATCGCGTTTGGTATTAAAATAGAACATTTCTAACCAAAAAAACTGTATTATTTAATTTATAATGAAAATAGTGATTCACAATAATCACAAATTTGTGAACTTACATTTTTTTAACATTCATGTATCATTTTTGATATCAAAATCGACCATTTATAGCACAAAAAATGCGTTTCTGATTTTATTACCAACTTAATCATTCACAACGATAACTTTATTGTGAAAACTTTGTGAATTGTAATTTTTTAATCAAATATATCATCATCATAATCGCGTTTGGTATTAAAATAGAATATTTCTAACCAAAAAAACTGTATTATTTAATTTATAATGAAAATAGTGATTCACAACAATCACAAATTTGTGAAAATTTTCATTTTTTAACATTTATGTATCATTTTTGATATCAAAAGCAAACATTTATAACACAAAAAATGCGTTTCTGACTTTATTACCAACTTAATCATTCACAACGACAACTATATTGTGAAAACTTTGTGAATTTTCATTTTTTAATCAACTATATCATCATCATAATCGATTTTGGTATTAAAATAGAACATTTCTAACCAAAGAAAACTGTATTATTTAACTTATAAATAAGATAGTGATTCACAACAATCACAAATTTGTGAAAATTTTCATTTTATATCATGTATCATTTTTGATATCAAAATCGAACATTTATAACACAACAATTTCGTTTCTGACCTTATTACCAACTTAATCATTCACAGCGATAACTATATTGTGAAAACTTTGTGAATTTTCATTTTTTAATCAACTATATCATCATCATAATCGATTTTGGTATTAAAATAGAACATTTCTATCCAAAGAAAACTGTATTATTTAACTTATAAAGAAGATAGAGATTCACAACAATCACAAATTTGTGAAAATTTTCATTTTATAACATTCATGTATCATTTTTGATATCTAAATCGACCATTTATAACACAAAAATGCGTTTCTAACATTATTACAAAGTTAATCATTCACAACGATAACTTTATTGTGAAAGCTTTGTGAATTTCCATTTTTTAATGAAATATATCATCATCATAATCGCGTTAGGTATTAAAATAGAACATTTCTAACCAAAAAAACTGTATTATTTAATTTATAATAAAGATAGTGAATTCACAACAATCACAAATTTGTGAAAATTTTAATTTTTTAACGTTCATGTATCATTTTTGATATCAAAATCGAACACTTATAACACAAAAAATGCGTTTCTGACTTTATTACCAACTTAATCATCCACAACAATAACTTTTATTGTGAAAATATTGTGAATTTTTATTTTGTAGTCAAATATATCATCATCATAATAGCGTTTGGTATTAAAATAGAACATTTCTAACAAAAAAAAAACTGTATTTTTAATTTATAATGAAGAATTTTCATTTTTTAACATTGATACATTATTTTTCATATCAAAATCGAACATTTATAGCACAAAAAAATGCATTTCTAACTTTATTACAAACTTAATCATTCACAACGATACCTTTTATTGTGAAAACTTTGTGAATTTTCATTTTATTAACTTTTACATATAATTTTGGTATGAAAATCCAACGTTTATAACACAATCTAACGTTTTAATTGAACATCTTTACGTGTATCAATTAAACACGTGCTTTTAAATTAAAAACAAAAAAAAATAATAACCGTGACGAATTTAAATTAAAAAAAATACAACAAAAAAGACAAAATAACAATTTTAACCGTTATAAACGCACCCATTACAATTAAATTAATCTTATCATTAAAAAAGTTTATTTCAAAGTGTAAGTTTTAAATACACAAGTCAACGGAGCGTTTGAAATTACCGGGTGAAAGCGTGTTTTCGTTTTCCCCGATTGGTGGCGCGTTTCGGACACCTCAAAATCTCTTCCTATTGGCTCTCAACAATTTCTGAGTATATCATGAGATGTATAAAACAGGTGCGCGAGCAAGTAGCGCTCAGTCAAGTTGAGTTTGAGTCGAGTTGAAGAAATTTTGTGTTCCACGTAATCTAACTTGATTAATAATTTGTATTAATTTCATCTATTTCAAATTTTGTGAGTGATTAAAACTAAAATTATCCTTATTAAGCCGAAGTTTTTGTGTTAGAATTAAATCGGAAGGATTTTTAAGTGAAATTTCTTTTGTGGGTTTATCTTTTTTATTGTTTGGATTGAAAATTTTAGAAAGTTAACCAGAAATTGTTACGGTTTAGCAATTATTTTCATAAAATTTCATTGTTAATACACCTCGCACGTAATTTAAAGCTCAAAACTACTTTTTATTAAGACAAAGTAGCCCTACTTTCTCTTTAAACATGAAACACTTTTTTTATTGATTAATAAAATCAATTTTTCGTGTTTTAGGAAATAAATTAAAATGGCTTTAATTCAACCCGACGCCGATATGCAAGTTTTAATCAGGAAGGAATTGAATGAAGATGTTAATACGAGGGACGCTGACCTTCAAACGATGAAGGAATGGTTGGCGAAGCAACCTCATCTTCCTGATACTTGGGATGAGCAAAGAATTATGACCTTTTTGAGAGGATGCAAATTTTCTTTGGAGAAATGTAAAAGGAAATTGGATATGTATTTTACGATGAGAACTGCTTGTCCGGAATTATTTACGAATAGAGATATTAAATTACCCGAATTGATGGATCTTATGAAAGTTGTGTAAGTTTTTTTTAAATAATTGTCTCATAATTGCCGATAATTAAAAATAAAAAAAGGGAGATAATAACAAAATTACTTTGTAAACAATAATAAAAGGTGTGCGTCAAGAACAAAACGATTCATCGGAAATAATTATTAATTTTTATCGTCAAACTATGTTGTTATCTCCACAAAAATTCCTACAATTACAACAATCATTTAATTAACAACATTTTTTGTCACTTTAGAAATATTCCACCTTTACCCGGCTTAACTCCCGATGGCAAACGAGTAATCGTTTTGCGTGGGCTAGAAAGGAATTACAGCGCTTTAAGTGTTGCGGATGCCATGAAAATTGTTCTTATGATTGGGGATGTTCGATTGGAAGCTGAAGAAACTGGGGTTGCAGGGGATGTTTATATTTTAGATGCTTCAGTTGCAACCCCCACTCATTTCGCGAAATTTACCCCGGCTATGGTCAAAAAGTTCCTTGTTATTGTTCAGGTAAATATTAATTAACCCAATTTGCATTATAAGTTGAATATATTAATAAATTTATATCGAGACTAGTTTCGAGGGTACACCCTCATCTTCAGTCGACTCTAGCAGAACGAAAAACACATTAAAATATTAAAATAAGACAGTTTAAAAAAACCTGGCAGATATCTTTTTGGACCACATTGAACAAAACTTTATTATAAATAACATTAATCCTCATAAGAAAAATATTAATAAACGGGTGAGATATGTCGACGACATTTTTTGTATCTAGGGAATATGTAATATAATTTTCTAGACTTAAATTTAACAAGAACAGACAAAATTGACTATGTGTTTGAGCTTGCATATAATAATAAATTCCCAAGACACATCATTAATAGACTATTTTACAAAATACAGCAACAAAGAGACCCTCTTTATGTTAAAACTATAAATAACTTGAAATATAAACCTATTCCTTACAGTAATGTTACACATTTTTCTGCTGTCCAACTGTCAAAATTTGACAGATTTATCTTAAATACGCTATTATGAATTAATTCTTCTAAGTAAAACCGCGAATTAAGTCAAATTTGTTATTTAACTTCCAAATTAAGACGAAAAGTAACTTTAAACATCCGTCAAAAAGGTGTCAAACTGTCAAAATTTGACAGATTTATCTTAAATACGCTATTATGAATTAGTTCTTCTAAGTAAAACCGCAAATTAAGTCGAATTTGTTATTTAAATTCCAAATTAAGACAAAAATAACTTTAAACATCCGTCAAAAAGGTGTCAAACTGTCAAAATTTGACAAAATCATCTTAAAAAAGTGATTTTGAATTAATTCTTCTAAATGAAGTCGCGAATTAAGTAGGATTTGTTATTTAAATTCCAAATTAAGACGAAACTAACTTTATACATCCGTCAAAACGCTGTCAAACTGTCAAAATTTGACAGAATCAACTTAAAAGCTGTCAAAATTTAACAGATTTATCTTAAATACGCTGTTTTGAAATAATTCTTCTAAATGAAATGGCGAATTAAGTCGATTCTGTTATTTAAATTCCAAATTAAGACGAAAATAACTTTGAGCATCCGTCACAAATCTGTCAAACTGTCAAAATTTGAGAAAATCATCTTAAAAAAATGATTTTGAATTAATTCTTCAAAATGAAATTGCAAATTAAGTCGAATTTGTGTAATTAAATTCCAAATTAAGATGAAAATAACTTGAAACATCAGTCAAAAAGCTGTCAAGCTGTCAAAATTTGACAGATTTATCTTAAATACGCTATTTTGAATTAATTCTTCTAAATGAAGTGGCGAATTAAGTCGATTTTGTTATTTAAATTCCAAATTAAGATGAAAATGACTTTAAACATCCGTCAAAACGTTGTGAAATTGTCAAAATTTGACAGAATCAACATAAAAGCTGTCAAAATTTGACAGATTTATCTTAAATAGGCTGTTTTGAATTAATACTTCTAAATGAAGTAGCGAATTAAGTCGAATTTGTTATTTAAATTCCAAATTAATATGAAAATGACTTTAAACATCCGTCAAAACGTTGTGAAATTGTCAAAATTTGACAGAATCAACATAAAAGCTATCAAAATTTGACAGATTTATCTTAAATAGGCTGTTTTGAATTAATTCTTCTAAATGAAGTAGCGAATTAAGTCGAATTTGTTATTTAAATTCCAAATTAAGACGAAAATAGCTTTAAGCATCTGTCACAAATCTGTCAAACTGTCAAAATTTGACAAAATCATCTTAAAAGTGATTTTGAATTAATTCTTCAAAATGAAATTGCAAATTAAGTCGAATTTGTGATTTAAATTCCAAATTAAGATGAAAATAACTTTAAACATCAGTCAAAAAGCTGTCAAGCTGTCAAAATTTTACAGAATCAACTTAAAAGCTGTCAAAATTTGACAGATTTCTCTTAAATATGCTGTTTTAAATTAATTCTTCTAAATGAAGTAGCGAATTAAGTCGAATTTGTTATTTAAATTCCAAATTAAGACGCAAATAACTGTAAGCATCCGTCACAGATCTGTCAAACTGTCAAAATTTGACAAAATCATCTTAAAAAAGTGATTTTGAATTAATTCTTCAAAATGAAATTGCAAATTAAGTCGAATTTGTGTAATTAAATTCCAAATTAAGATGAAAATAACTTTAAACATCAGTCAAAAAGCTGTAAAGCTGTCAAAATTTGACAGAATCAACTTAAAAGCTGTCAAAATTTGACAGATTTCTCTTAAATAGGCTGTTTTGAAATAATTCTTCTAAATGAAGTCGCGAATTATGTAGGGTTTGTTATTTAAATTCCAAATTAAGACGAAAATAACTTTATACATTCGTTAAAACGCTGTTCAACTGTCAAAATTTGACAGAATCAACTTAAAAGCTGTCAAAATTTGACAATTTCTCTTAAATAGGCTGTTTTGAATTAATTCTTCTAAATGAAGTCTCGAATTAAGTCGAATTTGTTATTTAAATTCCAAATTAAGACGAAAATAGCTTTAAGCATCTGTCACAGATCTGTCAAACTGTCAAAATTTGACAAAATCATCTTAAAAAAATAATTTTGATTAATTCTTCAAAATGAAATTGCAAATTACATAAGTCGAATTTGTGATTTAAATTCAAAAGTAAGATGAAAATAATTTTAAACATCAGTCAAAAAGCTGTCAAGCTGTCAAAATTTTACAGAATCAACTTAAAAGCTGTCAAAATTTGACAGAAATTATACAACAAATTGGTGCTGAATAACAACTGAAATTAGAACTAACACTTGATCTAAAGCTAAAAACATTTAGATTTAACCGTTTATGCTGGTTGTAGCCAATTCTTCACAGCTTTCTCCTAAATGTTATTAAAGCATCTCCCAGGTGGTCTTCCTATTAAATTCCATTTCGACCATTTTACCGCTTCCGCTCCGTTCATCTCCACTTCACCCATACAGTTCTTTCTATGACATCTTTCAGTCTTGTTCTTTTCCTAATTTCTTTGTTTGTTTACATTACAATTATACAGGGTGTCACATAAAAAACGCCCCAAACTGTAACTTTGTTATTTACATTCCGATTTTCATGATTCATGCTACAAATAAATTTTTTCCAACGCCATCTTCTATTTCAAGCGATAATTAACAAATTGCTGCGTATATCTTGTCGCCGTATTGTTTCTTGTCATTCCCTTAGATAGACGATGATTATATTATAATTATAATTTACTTCGTCATTTCTTCCAAATGATGCAAATGGATTAATCTTAAAATTATTTCTTTTTAGGAAGCATACCCAGTTAAATTAAAAGAAGTCCACGTCGTAAACGTATCTCCTTTAGTAAACACAATAATCGAGTGGGTGAAACCCTTCTTAAAAGAAAAAATTAGGAATCGTATTCATGTTCATTCCGACATGGAAAGTTTGTATAAATTTGTCCCGAAAGACATTCTTCCGGAAGAGTATGGCGGATCGGCTGGGAAAATTCAACAATTCCATGGTGATTTCTTTCATTTTTATAACAGTAATAGACAACTTAATAAACAAAATTAAAATTTTTAGACGACTGGATTAAGAGATTAGATGAAAACACCGCCTGGTTCAAAGAGCAAGAAAACATTAAAGCCGATGAATCAAAAAGACCGGGAAAACCAACCAATTACGACGATTTATTCGGCGTTGATGGAAGTTTTAGGCAGTTATCGATCGATTAGATCAATCTTAATAAAAAATCCTTTTATATCATATTTCGCTTTTCTTAATGGTTGTTAGTAAAATTTCTTTTTGCTCAAATTTTATATTGTACAAGTTTTTTATACTTAATTAATAGCTTTGTAGCACAATTTTATAAAATAAATTTATTTTTCTTAAAAAGCGCGCCATCTATTTATTTTAAAATAAATTAATTTAATTAGACTATCGCAAAAGAGATGGCGCTTATTATTATTATTATGATTATTTTTTTTCTTTTATTTAAAATGCTCCTAAAATACCAAGTTAAATATAACCTAACTTATTTCAACCTCATTGTGCCAATTAACTTAAATATAACCGGAGATAAAATGCATACGATTTAAAAATAAAAAAAATTGATTCGAAAAAAAATTAAAAGGAGGTGAAATTTCCTCTCAAGGCCGTCCGCGATGACCGTTTTTAAACCATGACGTCACGACAAAATGGCCGACGCGAGGTCTACTGGGTTTTTCATCCGTTTTTCTGACCGAAATTGATCGTTTTCAGTTCGAATATTAACCCGAATCGAACGTAACCCGACACCGAAAAGAACGCCGCAAAAAAAAATTTTGAAACAAAACCGGTAAGTTTGAGATAAAAATGTAATCTAAACCAACTAGATGATGAGTCATTTTAACGCGCTTCGTAAAAAAGAAATCGCGATCTATTTTATTTCCCATTTTAAAAATAGATTTTTAATTTTATTATTATTTTATAGATTTAATAAGGCAAAAAAAATTGGAATTATAAGGAAACTAAGGGGGGGAAATACGGACGGAAAACGAAAACTTGATGGAAAAAAATAATTAAAAATTCTTTTTGTGTCGAATATAAGGAAAATAAAAATGCCTGTACTTTCACCGCATCGTAACAGCGTCACCGGAGCGTACAGATCATCTTTGGGGTCATCATCTTTAAATAGGTACCCCTCATCAACTTATACACCTAATTTTTATTACGAAAGGTATTCCACTAGAAGTTATACGGATACAGATGGTAGAAGAATTTTTTCAAGGTAAAAAAATCTATTTTTAACATTTCATCAATCATTTTCAAATTTTCATCAATACCAATTGTTGTCTTTTTATTATACTTATTTTGACAGTTTTTCTGTCATTTTGACGTTTACTTGAAAATGTAGGTTATGTCTATATGAAGTAGTAGTCAATTTTACAACTGCAAGAACACCAAGACAACTGCATTTTTACAAAAATTACTCCCTTCATTCATTTCAAGATTCAACACATCATTGATGAGTTAGAGTAGGAACCAAAAACTATGCGTTTGAAAATTAAATTGGGTAGTCTATACCCTTGGAAACTCTAAAAGTTCTACAAAAGACTAAATATTGCTTGTGAAAGTCAAGACACTATTGGCAGAAATCTACCTGCTGCTCTTAGAAGACTTGGTACTGCTGAAAAAAGAAGAGATATTGCTAATGAACAACAAGACACTGCTTGCAAAAGTCAATATACTCCTGGTAAAAATTAGATACTGCTCCCAGACGATTAGTTTCTACTTGTAGAAGACTAGTTAATGCTTGCAGAAAACTAATTACTGCTTGCAGAAGATTAGTTACTGCTTGCAGAAGAGTAGTTAGAGCTTGCAGAAGACTAATTAGAAGTCTAATTGCTTGTAGACGAATAGATACTGCTGGCAGAACATTAAATACTACCGACAGAAGAATAGTACTGCTAATAGAAGACTATGTACTCCTTGAAAAAACTTGGTACTACTGGAAAATAACTAGCTACTGTTACCAAAAGACGAGATATTGGTTGCAGAAGATTAGTTGCTGCTTGCAGAAGAATAGACATTGCTAATGAAGGACTAGATATTGCTAATAGAAGATCACTGTTTGCAGAAGACAATCTACACCTTCAAAAAACTTAATACTACTGGATAAAAACCAGTTATTGTTACCAGAAGACTACATATTGCTTGCAGAAAACTAGATATTACTTGCAGAAGACTAGTTACTGCTTGGAGAAGACTAGACACTGCTAATAGGAGACTACTGTTTGCAGAAGACTACCTATTTCTGAAAAAAAAACTAGATACTCTAAGTACTGTTTCCAGAAGACTAGACACTACTGGCAGAAGAATAGATACTGCTAATAGAACATTTCTGTTTTCAGAAAACTATCTACTCCTTGAAAAAATTTTGTATTACTGGCAAAGAACTAGATACTGTTACAAGAAGACCAGATATTGCTTTCTGAACACTCGTTATTGCCTGCAGAAGACTAATTACTACTTGCCAATACCAATGGTAGAAGAATACACACTGCTAATAAAAGACTACTGTTTGCAGAAGACTATCTACTCCTTGAAAAATTTGATACTACCGACAAAGAACTAGAGTGTTACCAGAAGATCAGATATTGCTTGCAAAAAAATGGACTGACTGCGTGCAGAACGAACATATTGCTAATGGAGATTAATAGAAAAGAGGACACAGGTCGATCCACGATGATTGTTTATGATGAACGAAACATTGTAGTACCGAATTTAAAAATAAACAATCATCGTGAATCGACCTGTGGCCTTTTTTCAATTAACTTTCACCATGATGAACCTGCAGGCTTTAATGACCAAATATTAATGTTAATGGAGGACTAGACACCTGTAATAGAAGACTACTGTTTGCAAAATATTACCTACTCTTTCAAAAAAGTTAGTACTACTAGATAAAAACCTGTTACTGTTACCACAAAACTACATTTTGCTTGCAGAAAACTAGATATTGCTTACAGAAGACTAGTTACTGCTTGGAAAAGACTAGTTACTGCTTGAAGAAGACTAGATACCATTGGCAGAAGACTAGACACTACTGGAAAAAGAATGAAGGACTAGATATTGCTAATAGAAGACTACTGTTTGCAGAAGACAATCTACACCTTCAAAAAACTTAATACTACTGGATAAAAACCAGTTATTGTTACCAGAAGACTACATATTGCTTGCAGAAAACTAGATATTACTTGCAGAAGAATAGTTACTGCTTGGAGAAGACTAGACACTGCTAATAGGAGACTACTGTTTGCAGAAGACTACCTATTTCTGAAAAAAAAACTAGATACTCTAAGTACTGTTTCCAGAAGACTAGACACTACTGGCAGAAGAATAGATACTGCTAATAGAACATTTCTGTTTTCAGAAAACTATCTACTCCTTGAAAAAATTTTGTATTACTGGCAAAGAACTAGATACTGTTACAAGAAGACCAGATATTGCTTTCTGAACACTCGTTATTGCCTGCAGAAGACTAATTACTACTTGCCAATACCAATGGTAGAAGAATACACACTGCTAATAAAAGACTACTGTTTGCAGAAGACTATCTATTCCTTGAAAAATTTGATACTACCGACAAAGAACTAGAGTGTTACCAGAAGATCAGATATTGCTTGCAGAAAATCGATCCACGATGATTGTTTGTGATGAACGAAACATTGTAGTACCGAATTTAAAAATAAACAATCATCGTGAATCGACCTGTGGCCTTTTTTCAATTAACTTTCACCATGATGAACCTGCAGGCTTTAATGACCAAATATTAATGTTAATGGAGGACTAGACACCTGTAATAGAAGACTACTGTTTGCAAAATATTACCTACTCTTTCAAAAAAGTTAGTACTACTAGATAAAAACCTGTTACTGTTACCACAAAACTACATTTTGCTTGCAGAAAACTAGATATTGCTTACAGAAGACTAGTTACTGCTTGGAAAAGACTAGTTACTGCTTGAAGAAGACTAGATACCATTGGCAGAAGACTAGACACTACTGGAAAAAGAATAGATACTGCTAATAGAAGACTACTGTTTGTAAAAGACTATCTACTCCTTCAACAAACTTGATACTACTGGTAAAGAACCAGCTACTGTTACCAGAAGACTAGTTACTGCTTGTAGAAGAATAGACATCGCGAATGGAGGACTAGACATTGGTAATAGAAGACTGCTGTTTACAGAACACTACCTACTTGAAAAAGCTAGATACTGCTTCAAGAAGATTAAATAACACTGACAGAAGAGTAGACACTACTGGCAGAAAAACAGATATTGCTAATAGAAGACTATCTACTCCTTGAAAAACTTAGTACTACACAACTAGATATTGCTTTCTGAACACTCGTTATTGCTTGCAGAGGACTAATTACTACTCGATAGCAGAAGAATGGACACTGCTAATAGAAGACTACTATTTGCAGAAGACTATCTACTCCTCGAAAAACTTGGTACTACTGGCAAAGTTATTGCTTGCAAAAGAATACTTACTGCTTGCAGAAGTACATATTGCTAATGGAGGACTAGACACTTGTAATAGAAGACTACTATTTGCAGAGTATATACTAGGTAATATTTTCAGAAGACTAGGTACTGCTTGCAGAGTATTAAGTAGCATTTCTAGAAGATTAGTTATTGCTTGAAGAAAACTAAATACTGGACGAAGAATAGATACTGCTAATACTGGTTAGTACTACTGGCAAAGAACTAGCTACTGTCACTAGAAGACTATCTGCTGCTACCAGAAGACTAATTACTGCTTACAGGAGACTAAATACCTACAAGAAGTGGGCTAAATATGGTTTGCAAAGAAATAACTCATTGTATAACACAAGACCAAAAAAGTATTTATTATTATCAATGTATGCAAAAAAGAAAATTTCTGTTCAATGACAATTTGCAAAACAAAAATTGATAAACTTTTAAAAAATTGAAGAATTTCCCAACCACAATTAATACAACCTCTGATCTCCCATAACATTATACTTAATTACATTCAATATAAGTTTTAAAGATACCACCAAGAATAAATTTTTAATCTGTCAAATTGGCCCTATCTGTCAATTGTGTCATTCTACCTGTCATTTTTACAGTTATACCACCAAAAAATTGTTTTTAATTTGTCAAATTGACTAATTATTTTGAGTTTTTTATTCTTATTTTAGATCCGGAAGTATAACAGAAGATGGTAAAACGACTCGTTTTTACGAAGAATCTTGTGATGGAAATTTAAGCACGAGCAGGCGCGAATCACTTTCCCGCGATTCAGGAATCGGCTCGATTCGCGAAAATTCAATACTAGAAAGTCGGCGTGAAAATTCTTTAACCCGAGACCCCTCGAATCGTTACACCCAGGTCAACGTCGTCGATTCGTTATCAGATTTACGTATTAAATACTCACCCGCAAATTACGTCCCTGCGATCCATAGAAACAAACACACCACAACCAACCAGGACCGGATCTCCCGCTCGAAAAGCATCAATGATATCGGAAAACCGCCACCGCCCACAACGAACCAAGAGAAATCTTCGGAGAGATCTGAAAAAGATTTGGAAGTTAGAACCGGGGTGAAATCGAAAACAACACAAAATAAGGTAATAAAAACAAGTGGGCTTTTCAATAACGGTCATAACGGAGTGATTGGTGTGAATTCTAACAATATTAATTTAAATAACGATTCGAATGGTAACGAAACCACGATTAATCGAGAGGAATCCCCGCCGAAACCAGTTTCCGAGTTGAGAAAAAAATTCGAATCCAAATTTTTACAACAAGATAATAAAAATGAAAATCAAAATCGATTATTGTTAAAAAATAACACTAAAAATAATGACATTGCTAAAAATGACACTCAATCTGTCAAAAAAAATGACATAAAAATTGTCAAAAAAAAATCCGAAAAAAATAATGATAACACCTTACCATCATCATCATCGACAACAATTAATTCTCAATTAAAACCGTTATCGAAATCGTCACAAATTAAAGTGATCGTTAATGGGGTACCGGCAACATTAAAAGAATCGCAAACAATTGTGGACCCGGAGGACGACGATTATGTTACAGAGTCAAATGGAACGACGGCAACCGAAGAAAGTGCTCAAACTTCGATTACCATTTCGATAAACGACGATTATAATAGTGTAGCAACGGCCCCGCCGGGAATATCATCCAGCTCAACGTCCGTTGTGTTACCCGGTTCGAGTCGAGTTAGTAATTTTTCATCCTATATTCCTGTTAAAACGTACGAAAAAGGTGATTTAAATGGTGGTGATGTTAAAAATGGTGAAATTCATGTAAGTTTTTATTTATTTTTATTAGAGATAAGGGTTGAATTTGAATTTGAAAAAGTGAGGTTAAATTTGTTATCCACACATTATAATTCGTAAAAACTTACCATTTTTAATTATTAAGGAGTCCTAAATGATGAAGTGATTGAGTCTGAAAATTAAAAAGAAATTAATTAATAATTTTGTATAAATTTTTGAGGTTATGTTGATAAGGACGATTTTAAAAAGTCTCGTATCTTAGGAACTAATTGGGATATCGCGATGAAATAAAAAGCAATTTTTCGGGTAGAGAATGCCCCAAAAGATTCTTTTTAGCATTCTTTTTAATAATTAAGAAAAAATAAAATAAAACAATTTAATTACTTACTTACATTTGATTTCGTGCAAGGTCGTCCACACTTTGAGTCACTTGAGTCGGCGTCATGTGCATTCATTTGTTTTTCAAAATTTAATCTTAAATAATTAGTTAAAAGTTATTTTGGGGATTATTTCGACAAAAACGATAATTATTAATTAATTATCGCCTTAACAACCAAATTAATTAATTAAAACGGTTTAAATACGTACTTAATTATGATCTGCATAAGCGTTTCGTGCAAGGTCGTCCACACTTCCGTGGTCGCGTCATGTGCGCTCGTTTGTTTTTAAAAAATTAATCTGAAATGAATAAATTAAAATTATTTTGGGGGTTATGTCGATTAAAAATGATTATTTTTTTTTGATAAAAAGATTAATTAATTAAAATAATTTAAATACCTACTTAATTTATGATTTTTAGGGCAATCTTTGTAAGCGTTTCGTGCAAAGTCGTCCACACTTCTGCGGTGGCGTCATGTGCGCTCGTTTATTTTGAAAAAATTAATCTGAAATGAATAAATTAAAATTATTTTGGGGATTATTTCGATTAAAAATGATTATTTTTTTTGATAAAAAGATTAATTAATTAAAATAATTTAAATACGTACTTAATTTAAGATGTTTTAGGGCAATCTTCGTAAGCGTTTCGTGTAAAGTCGTCCACACTTCTTCATGGTGGCGTCATGTGCGCTCATTTGTTTTTGAAAAATTAACCTTAAATAGAATTAATTTATTTAATTATTTGGGTTAAAATAACGTAATTAAGAGATTAATAATTTAATTTAGTTTAAATGCGTAGTTGTGTTTTGGCTCCATGAATTAATTGATTAAATTAAAACGATTTAATTTTACGTTCTGCATTAAACTTTAAAAAACAAAAAATCCCCAACTTTATAAAAGTCACTAAAATTATTATTATTATTAAATTATTATTCCCATATTATTAAATTTATTTAGATTATGCCTTAGATTAGTCTTTTAACCTCAATGAATTATTTTTGATGTTAATTTTTGTTTGTTGACATTAAAAGTCAAAAAATAATTTTTAATGAGACGTCAAAAACGCGCCGAATGGAAAGTGATTCGATTGAAACGTTTAAGAACTCAATACGTGAACGCTGTGAGACAGTTTTACAGGGATCTCGAGACTGTTTGTTCTCGTCTACATAAATTGGAGTACAAATTGAGATATTACACGCGACTTTTCGATTACGAGGTATCTCTACCAGTGAGTAATAAAGATAATTTAAGAATTTGAGGTTAAGTTTACTTGGTTACTTAGCAACCAAGATATCTTGTAATCTTGGGTATTAAGTAAATTTTTAATTATTTAATCGTAATTGCGATTTAAATAAGACAATTTGTTACAAATGGTGTTTTAAATAAACATTTAAAGAAATCGTTTACGAAAACGTGGTGGTATTTAAAAAATTAATAAAAAAAATGTAGTTGATTTTATAGTTATCGAAGTTGCTATGAATGATTTGACGATGTTGTTTTGTTTTAATACGAATTGGGTGTTTTTGATGCGATTTTTGAAAAACATGTCAAGATTAAAGTTGAGGAAAAAGTGGTTGTCCGAGGTGGATCGTCGTCCCCCGGACGCTTTTTCTTTGGCGAACATGTAGAAAAATCAACAAAAAAAATTTGGCGCTAATTTAAGCGCAAAACCCCGAGCACGTGTCAAAGTTTTCGTGCCAAATTCACCAAACGAGCTATTTTTTCGCGAAACATGTCTATTAGACATTATTATTTAACAGTGAGTACTTTTTATCGCTTTATATTATTTAAATAATTTAAAAAATATTGTGGTAATTCTATTGTTTGACTCATAGATGGCCCATAAATTGGTACATTCATTGATAGATGGCGCTTTAACTAAATCTAATTAAAACAACCTAACCTAAAAGTTTTATTTTTACCTCGCGAATTACTTTTAATCGTTTAATTTTATAATAATAAAGAAATTTAGCATTTATCGCAAAAGAAGAAAGAAATAAATCTTTGATGAGTCCCCTAAACACCGCCAAAAATGTTTCAAAAATTCGCACCGATCATTTTATACACACTTTGGGGCACAATCCTGTGTTGCCTCCTTTACGGGTTTATTCTCGGGTTTTTAGATAGCGCGAAACGTTCCCGTTTCGATTTGATTATAACGAAAATACAAAAAAATCAAAAAGTGAGGTTACGTCAAATTATTAATTTAGTGTTAATTTATTCATTTTCAGGATTTATCCACCTCGCAACCCTTAAACAGCAGAACCCTAACTCGGAATAATGCCACGGCTAGTACATCATCGTCGTCGTCATCCGCAAATAACAATCGGGTGTCTTTAGAACGTGACGAAGAGAAGATTTACGACCGAAAACAAACGTTATTGGGAGGAGCCTCCCAAGGTGGGGGTCTCAACGGATTAAAAAATATCGGGAATACTTGTTTTATGAACTCCGTCATTCAGTGCCTATCAAACACGAAACCTTTACTTGAGTACCTAAGGAAAGATCAATACGCGAATGAAATTAACACCTCGATTTCGAGTATGAAAGGGGCTTTGATTAAAGGTAATTAATTAATTAATTGAGTTTAGGTAATAAATTAATTGATTTTGTTTGTTAGCGTTCGCTCAAGTTACAAAAGAACTTTGGTCTGAAGATAGCATGGATCGAGTGGTTAACACCGTGTCTTTAAAATCGCAAATTCAAAGGTTTGCGCCTCGTTTTATGGGGTATGCGCAACAAGATGCCCAAGAATTTTTAAGATATCTTCTTGAGGGGCTCCACGAAGACGTAAATAGGGTTACGTCTAAACCGGCTCCGATTCATACCGAAATCGATGAAAAATTGAGGTTAGATTTTGATTGAATATAACAGTAATAACCATAGTTATGAAACTACTATGCACTTGCACTGTTCCACATCAAATGCAACATAGCTTAACTGTTAATTAATTATTTAAATTATAAAAAAAAGTAGGCAACCCAAAATGTACTGATGCATATTTGGTTGCATAACTTTGGAATGATTATTTTGACGGGAAAATGATAGATGGCGCTGTAAACATAACTAAAGTCCCTAGGTTTTCAAAGAGCTGCGCATTTTGGCTCGAAAGTCAAGCGGGAAATTTAAAACTATGTCGATCTATTGATAACATTACGCCAAAATTCCTTTTTTTTTCGAAGAGGCGAAAGCCCTTCTTACTGCTAGTTTTGCAACTCCAAAGGCAATAAGCTGTCAAACCGCCATTTTGGCTCGAAAATAGGCGTCATGAACCGCGGTACTTTGTAAATCTAAGGACTTTAAACTAAAGCATGTTTGAAATAATTATAAAGCATTAATAAGCAGTAACCATAGTTACTAAACTACTATGTACTTGCGTTGTCCCACATAAAATGCAATATAGCTTAATAGTAGGCATTGGGGAGTTTTGCAAAAGAAATATTTTGCTTGTAAAAGGTGACTCTGAGATTCCATCTTAAGAAACGCACTAATTTTCTAGTTTTACACTAGCACTGTTATTATGTAGAATTAATTAACACTATACCTAGAAGTAGAATCATTTGGGTTTAGCCACACGTTTCTAAAGACGGCTAAACCCAAATGATTCTAGTTCTAGATATAGTGTTAGTTCCAGTTTTACTCTTGTACTGTTACTGGAACTAACATTAGACTTAGAAACATTTCTGTTTAGCCCTACGTCTCTTAAGACGGCTAAACCCGAATGATTCTAGTTCTTGGTCTAGCGTTGTATAACAATTAAAACTAGAACTAACACTAGACCTAGAACTTAGAAACATTCGGGATTAGCCGTGCGTCTTCAGACGCACGGCTAAACCCGAAACTTTCTACTTCTAGGTCTAGTGTTAGTTCTAGTTTTACACTAGCACTGCTACTATGCAGAATTAACACTATACCTAGAACTAGAATCATTCGGGTTTAGCCGCACGTCTCTAAAGACGGCTAAACTCGAATGATTCTAATTCTAGGTATAGTGTTAGTTCTAGTTTTAATTGTTATACAACGCTAGACCAAGAACTAGAATCATTTGGGTTTAGCCACACGTCTCTAAAGACGGCTAAACCCAAATGATTTTAGTTCTAGGTATAGTGTTAGTTCTAGTTTTACACTTGCACTGTCACTAGAACTTACATTAAGGTTTAGCCGTGTTAGGCTAAAATTAAGGCTTAATTTTTCAAAATTTGGATCTATTTTTGGGTTGAGTTGGTAATACTGATCGATGGGTTAAAATAACTTATTGCATATATTTTATGGGTTAATTATAAACCTTTTTTGTATGAAACGTTTTTTTCCATCACTTATAAATAACGAGTTATAGGAGAAAATTGTTTAAAATGTCAAAATTTCTATTTTTCTTAGGTTGCGTATCAATAAAAATATGCAACATATTGATATTTTATGCTAATTAACATTACCTACCACCTACCAGCGTCTTAAAAAGGATCAATTCAGAAATTTTTTAGTTATATACGTGCTCTTTTTTTAACATAAATGGATAGAAAATTAAAAATCCTTTAAAATGAACTCAAACTCGGCACATTTATCTCCAACCGTTATCGAGATATCTTAATTTTTTGCAAATTATTGCGATTATTTGACATTTGACAGATTATAACCTAACTTTTTTATTGTAAACGTAAACATATCAAGTTTGGTATCAAATGAAAGCATTTTTGACCCTTATTAAGATCATTTCAATATTTATCAAAAAATCGTTATATTTAATTTTGACATTTGACAGTTTATAACCTAACTTTTTATTTTTAACCCAAATATATCGTGTTTGGTATCAAATTAAAGCATTTTTGATTGTTATTAAGATCGTTTTAATATTTATCAAAAAATCGTTATTTAATTTTGACAGTTTCTAACCTAACTTTTTTATTTTTTAACCCAAATATATCGTGTTTGGTATCAAATTAAAGCATTTTTGATTGTTATTAAGATTATTTCAATATTTATCAAGAAATCGTTATATTTAATTTTGACATTTGACAGTTTATAACCTAACTTTTTTATTTTTTAACCTAAACATATCGTGTTTGGTATCAAATTAAAGCATTTTTTATTCTTATTAAGATCATTTCAATATTTATCGAAAATTGTTATATATAATTTTGACATTTGACAGTTTCTAACCTAACTTTTTTATTTTTTAATCCAAATATATCGTGTTTGGTATCAAACGAAAGCATTTTTGATTCTTATTAAGTACATTTCTATCGTTTTTGCTTTTTGAGATGAATGCATCATGTTTGGACTCATTTTAAAATTTTTTTAATAAAGAATACATCATGAAAGTACACCATAAAGTTGTCCATTTATCTATTATATGATAACTAACTTCAGGTTTAAAGTGTCAACCTCATTTTTGACATATTTGTAATCTTCATTAAAAATCCTTGAGCTCAAATATGATACGTTTAATTCCAATATTACTCGAGATATAAGCAACTTCCGGTTTGAAATGTCAATGTCATTTTGACATATCCTTAATTTTTATAAAATGTCTATAAAATTTCTCACAAAAACAAAAATATAATAAAAAAAATCTAAAATTAAGGTTGGTATTAATATTTAATAATTAAATTGCTATCTTTATGGTTGCTAACTTCGGGTTTAATGTTTTTTTTTATTCTAACTTTTTTGTTTTTTGAGATAAGTGCATCATGTTTGGACTCATTTTAAAGGTTATTTTATAAAGATTACGAATATAATAATAAAATTAAGTCTTGTGTTACTTTTAGTTTTAATTCAATAAAAATATGCAACACAGTGGTATCTAATGCTAACTAGAGCTACCTAGCACTGTCACTAAAACCAACATTTCAGCTAGAACTAGAAACATTCGGATTTAGCCGCACGTCTCTCAAGACGGCTAAACCCGAATGATTCTAGTTCTAGGTCTTATGTTAGTTCTAGTGATAGTACTCGTGGAAAACTAGAACTAACACTAGACCTAGAACTAGAAACATTCGGGTTTAGCCNGATCTGGGTACTGCATTATTCCGAGACCATATTCAACCGATCTCTATTGTATCTTGTAGATTCTTTGGCTTTATCGTCCAATATCTGACCGCAAACATTCTTTACGAAGTAAATATGACCCGGTGGTTATTCGAAATGCATAACGTACTTTCAAACAAACACATCGATCAAATAAGATTATAAGTTATATATTATATATTTTTATGAATACTTATTAAACGACTCTAAATACGAGATTATTCACTAACCTCTTAAGCGCTTATGTCGCATATAATCGTCATCACGAAAGTCGCTGCGAAGTGGGTATGCCGGATATATTCGCATCTTAGAAATTAAAGTGATATTCAATCGACAAGACGATTTTCGCCACGTATATTTATATTATATTTATTAACACGATGTATTTGGGTTAAAAAATAAAAAAGTTGGGTTGAAAACTGTCAAATGTCAAAATTAAATACAACGATTTTTAATAAATATTGAAATCATCTTAATAAGAATCAAAAATACTTGAATTTGATACCAAACACGATGTATTTGGTTTAAAAAATAAAAAAGTTAGGTTAGAAACTGTCAAATGTCAAAATTGAAAATAACGACTTTTTGATAAATATTGAAATGACCTTAATAAGAATCAAAAATGCTTTACTTTGATACCAAACTTGATGTTTACGTTTAAAATAAAAAAAAGTTAGGTTATAATCAGTCAAATGTCAAATAATCGCCATCTTTTTTGCAAAAAATTAAGATATCTCGATAACGGTTGGAGATAAATGTGCCGAGTTTGAGTTCATTTTAAAGGATTTTTAATTTTCTATCCATTTATGTTAAAAAAAGAGCACGTATATAACTAAAAAATTTCTGAATTGATCCTTTTTAAGACACTGGTAGGTGGTAGGTAATGTCAATTAGCATAAAATATCAATATGTTGCATATTTTTATTGATACGCAACCTAAGAAAAATAGAAATTTTGACATTTTAAACAATTTTCTCCTATAACTCGTTATTTATAAGTGATGGAAAAAAAACGTTGCATACAAAAAAGGTGTATAATTAACCCATAAAATATATGCAATAAGTTATTTTAACCCATCGATCAGTAATACCAACCCAACCCAAAAATAAAACCAAATTTTGAGGTTAGTTCTACATAGTGTAATAGTGCTAGTGTAAAACTAGAACTAATGCTATACCTAGAACTAGAATCATTTGGGTTTAGCCGTCTTTAAAGACGTGCGGCTAAACCCACTATACTAGAACTAGAATCATTTGGGTTTAGCCGTTTTTAGAAACGTGTGGCTAAACCCAAATGATTCTACTTCTAGGTATAGTGTTAATTAATTCAACATAATAACAGTGCTAGTGTAAAACTAGAAAATTAGTGCGTTTCTTAAGATGGAATGTCAGAGTCACCTTTTACAAGCACAACTTTTCTTTTGCAAAACTCCCCAATGCCTGTACTATTAGCTATGTTGCATTTTATGTGGGACAATGCAAGTACATAGTAGTTTAGTAACTATGGTTACTGCTTATTAATGCTTTATAATTATTTCAAACATGCTTTAGTTTAAAGTCCCTAGATTTACAAAGTACCGCGGTTCATGACGCCTGTTTTCGAGCCAAAATGGCGGTTTGACAGCTTATTGCCTTTGGAGTTGCAAAACTAGCAGTAAGAAAGGCTTTCGACTCTTCGAAAAAAAAGGAATTTTGGCGTAATGTTATCAATAGATCGACATAGTTTTAAATTTCCCGCTTGACTTTCGAGCCAAAATGCGCAGCTTTGTAAATCTAGGGACTTTAGTTATGTTTACAGCGCCATCTATCATTTTCCCGCCAAAATAATCATTCCAAAGTTATGCAACCATATATGCATCAGTACACTTTGGGTTGCCTACCTCTTTTCTTTTTTGTAATTTAAATAATTAATTAACAATTAACAAACCTGTTACTTGTTAACCTGTACTATTAAGCTATGTTGCATTTAAGAGACTAAACCCGAATGGTTCTAGTTCTAGATCTTGTGTTAGTTCTAGTGATAGTTTAAAACAAGAACTAACACTAGACCTAGAAAATATCATGCGTCTTCATATATGTATTGACATATTGCATTTTATGTGGGGCTAAGTAGGTGCGTCCTGGTTTCTATGCAAATATATTTTTTTTATTGCATCTTAAGTGCGATTCACTGTATAAATAAATAAATAAATATATAAAAATTTTTTTAGTGATAGTGAAAAATCTGCGGAATCTTGGCAAAGATATCTTCGAATGGATAATTCAAAAATAGTCGATATTTTCGTCGGTCAATTAAAATCAACGTTAAAATGCACCCATTGCGGGCATTGTTCGGTTACGTTCGACCCGTTTTGGGATCTTTCGTTGCCGATTCCTCAAAAAGTAGGCCCTATTCGATTGCAACAGTGTCTCGATAGTTTTACACGGGAAGAAACTTTAGATGGAGATGAAAAACCCGTAAGATAATAAATTAACGTTAACTCTTAAAAATAAGATTAAATTGATTTTTAGACATGTTCTAAATGTAAAGAAAGAAGAAAATGTACGAAATCGTTTACGATACAAAAGTTTCCGAAAATATTGGTGATACATTTAAAAAGATTTTCGCCGATGGAGCGTTTTCGAGGGAAACTCTCGGTGACCGTTGATTTCCCGTTGGAAGGATTGGATATGAGTAATTACGCGGCGGATAATCGCAGCCAATCAAGATATAATTTATACGCAATTTCGAATCATAGTGGTACAACTTACAGCGGGCATTACACGGCGTATTGTAGACATCCATATTCGCAATCGTGGCATGAATATAATGATTCTAGGTAATTAAACGTTTTTCATAAAATTAATTGATTTTTAAATTTTATTTTTTAGGGTTTGTTTGATTTCTCCGAAAAATATAATAAGTGGGGAAGCTTATGTGCTTTTCTACGAGCTGGATGGTCAAAAATCTCATTTGTAAAGTAAAGGAGGATACCATTTACTTGGATTATAATTTTTTCTTTCATTTTTAAAGAGATGAACATTTTTAATTTGGCCCAAAAGGAGACGCCATGGCGTTTTTATTTTTAAATATCGAATTCGAAACGAATATAAATGAATTTTATTGTATAAAAGAGAAGAAAACGGTTGTTTAGATGAGATGATTATTTAAAAAACGATTTATTAAAGAGAATTATTTCAAAAAAATTTGAAAAAAAAATCTTGTGTGTTTTTGTACATAAAAAGTACAGTTTATATTTTATTGAGTGTTTTATCTTTTTTTTTTAATTATTACTATTTATTGCGTCCTATTTATTAATTAAAACTTTTTTTTGTTGAAAAACGTCCAGATTTTGAGATAAAATTATAGAAATGAACAAATTAATTAAAAAATAACAATTCTAGGTCAATATAATTAAGTAATAAAGAAAATCTAGTCTGCAAAAATATATTTTCTTAAATCGGAAGAGATTTTAATAATTCTTGTACAATAATTAATAATAAAAGAAAAATAGATTTAATTAAAAGTTAAAATAATTTCAATTATTGTGCATATAATTATTAAAAAAAATATATCTCTGAGGAGGATGAACTTAATTAATTTATTTGTACCAAAAAAAATTGATCAAAAATTAATTTTAATTGTAAGTGATGGTACAGCTTAGTTAATAAAATTCGTAAATTTTTAATTAATTAATCAATTTTGAGATTTTCAGAGTTCAAGGCTTTGTACGTTTAAAGAATTAAATTATTAAAACAAATGTAAAATTAAGAGAAAAAATCTTGTAAAGAGATTGACCTAAAGATTTGTTTAAATAAGCACTAACTTATTAAAATTGTTTGCAAAAAATTAAAAATTCTTTGATTTTTATTCCAATTCGCTCTATCAATACACGTCACTTCACTTCCCACCCTTAACAACTTCTTAATTAATTGTAAAAGACAAAGATCATGAAGTTCTGCAAAGGGAGGAGAAGAAGGAGAGGAAATCAAAGAGTATACTAGGAAGGTCGGGATCCTGAGAGAATAAGGAGAGGAGGTTGATATATGGGCAGGGAGATAGCGAAGGATATTATAGGAGAGTGGAATATTCAGTAACTAGGATCGGCGATAAAAGGGTGGAGAGAGGTGAAATGGCAGGAGAGGAGGGTACAGATACAGGAAGGAAAATATAATGTAAGGTATGGGGAGATAGTGACAAAGGAACTGTCAAAGTATCTGTTGATGGAGCGGGATGATGAAGAGATATCTAGATGGCTAGATAGGAGAGTAGAGGGTTTGGGTGTATACATTTATTGCGCTATACAGCCTGTTTCAGAGTAAGCGCCTTATTTTTTTAGCCACACTATAGATACTACTTTCAAAATACTTGGCAGTAATATGTTTTATGTCCTAAAACCAGTGATGGGCGCTGGGTAAATACCCGGCGGGTAGGTATTTATCTGGGTACTTACCCCGGCTCAGGGTAAATACCCAAACAGTACAGGGTGTCCAAATTTCGGATATCTCAGTTATTATGAAAGATAGAAAGTTGCGGTTTTCGCGAACCTGAGCTACTTTTTTGTGAAACTTATAATGCCGCAAACCATATTTTCATAGACCTCTTCGTTTTTGATATACAGGGAGTATTTCAAAATTTACGATTTTCAGACACCCCCCGTATCTCGGCTATCCGGAAACTTAGTAAAAAAGTAAAAACGGGTTCTAATAGATTTTTTCACGGAGAATCCAATGGTGCACGTAGAATTTTTCTAGTCATCACGGTTTTTGAGTTATAAACACAACTTAGGTTTTTTTAAATGGAACCACCTATATTTTATTTTTTTATTGAACTGGATTTTTTTCAAGCTTTTCAATGATATATAATACTCTATACTTACCTTTATAATTAACCTCGAAATTGAATAAAATACATTATTTTATAAGTAGGCAATGATAAATAGACTGCCTAGCCTGACGTCACAGAGA